GTGCTGAGCTCTCTTCTCCCGCCTGCACCTGCCTGTTGTAAGACCAGCAGCTGCACGGCAAGTTAAGCACGTCATGAGCAGAGGCAGCTGGAGCCGCGGGTCAGACTAGATGGCCAAGGAGACCCCTTCTGAGTCACTCCGTTTCTGTGTTAGGCAGCTCGAGTCCCTCTCTAGAACCAGGCACCTCATACTATTTCATAGGGCAGCTGGGGGGTGGGGGGGGGGGATACAATCCTACGCAGATTTAGAGAAAAAAAGACCTGCAAGTCCTGGACAGGGGATGCTGGCAGTTAGTGGTAGGGCTTTTTGCCCATCTAGATGGGGTCAGTGGGTGTGGGCTCGGTGGACTCCGAGGGATGGTGGAGGACAGGAGGGCCTGCAGAAATGCCGTCCATGGGTCGGGATGGGTCGGGCATCACTTTGCAAGTGAACAACAAGCAACGATCTTGCAAAGAGCTATGCGTCTAACGAACGGACAGCCTTGCAGGTCTAAATCTGGCCTGCACGTCTTCCTTTAACCTCTGCAAGTGAATAAGTGGAAATTCAAGGAAGGCCTCCAGCCTCCACAGGCCTCCTGTGGGTTCACCCCATTTGGGCCCAGCGGACGGGAGTCGGGAGTGTGGGCAGATGTGCCCAGGGCCCGCTCTTGAGTCCACAGGCTCTGCCCATGTACAGCAGCGTCTGAAACTTTTCTCGAGACGTTTTATAGCAGAGGAAAGATTCTGTAAGCCGCTCCGTGGAACGGGAGGTGCTTGTCGGCCAAGCTGCTGGTGAGAGCAGAACGCCTTCATTGTAACCAGCCAGGAAGGCGCTCGGAGCAGGATAAGGGCCGCTTGTGCAGGAACGGAGGGGCGAGAACATTGCGGCAAAAGGGGAAAGTCATGCTCCGCCAGCTCCTTCGGTGGGAAAGGAAGCTTTGCGCCAGAAGGGAGGCTGAATGGAACCTTGTGCGCGGTGGAGAGTCGGACGCGGAGGGGCCCTCAAAGGAGTGCCAGCATCCTCGATGCCGACACTCACCTGGCGTTTATGAACTTCTCCGGCAAATCAAGTGGAAGCCAGCAAAGCCTCAGACGTCTGTCGAGGGGCTAAGTAGGGCATCTTGAGATGTCGGTTCTTCTCTGCTTATTGCTTTTAGATCAGGACTTGGGTGAGGATCGGCACTCCGGCCTCCTGGTCCAACTCGCCTGGTCCAAAGCACTGAACCAAAATGACAGGCCAGAAAACAAGCTTCACCCGTTTCCTCTTATAGCTGGGGCACAGGGTCTCCATTCATAACAAGGGTAATACCTGCCTCAGTCCCCTTCTTGGGCAAAGATCACCTGAATGCAAATGGCTCTTCGGAAGGGGGCGGCCTGGAGAAGAAGAGTTGCGATGACTGTATTTTCCTCCACACTCAGCTCTTTCTGCTGCCTTTGCTTAAACAAATTTCCCCATCGGATCAGCAGGCAACTTTAGGTACTTCCAAATCAGCCCCATACCAACAGTCCCATACCAACCCCTTTCTACGCTGTTTCAACTTCATTATCCGTACTCAACAGTTTTCAGAGGGGTTTTGTGGCAGGAGGTGGGGTGCAGAGAGGTATCCCAATAATTTCTCAGTGCCCTATTGGTCTATTTTCCATCCCATTTCCTGCCCCATCATTCTGTAATCCAGGGCCAAATTCCTTGCAATCCATTTGCATTTGACAACTGGTTCTGCAACTGGCTTCTGGGAAGCATCGGACAAAGCCAGAGGATACACCGATCAAGAGGCGTGATGCTGACCTGGGACCTGTGTTTAGGGACAGCGTGTGCCTGTCAGAACCTGATCCGGGAGGCAAACAGCAGCAACCGGACTTCATTCCCGTGTGTTGGGCATCACTCCTGCGAATGCCCACCCGCTACTGGCAAGAGGGTGGAAGGCGATTTGGGCATGGTTTGCACCAGCTGGGAGACCCATGTGCTTAATAATCAAGTATATATGCTGAGCCTACACTCCAAGGTGTGTATACACACCCCAAAGGAAGCACGGATTAGTTGCTTAATGCAGGATGTGAGACTCTACAACATGCTATCCGTTCCCAGCTTAATGCACGTTAAAGTGTTCCGACAGAGTTCAGTTCTCATTCCGATTATATGCTACTCCATTCATTTAACGAACAACTACGTAATGGCAAGCTTAGTTTCTGAACTGAGGTCCACCCACTGAAGCCAGCGGGACACAAAGCCTGGGTGGGGAAGCCCTCTCAGCCCGAGGGCCAGATTCAAGTTCAGAGCAGGGCCTCGGGGCCACGTTCCAGTGGTGGGCAAGGCCTACGGCCCCCGGTCGGAACTCCCAGGACATGGTAGCCCCCAGCTCTAATGGCCAGGAGCCACGCCCCAAGAGGAGCTGTTCTCTGAATGGTTCGGAGAAGGCAGGCATCCTCCAGAGGATCGGTAGCTGGCAGAAACGGGAGGGCAGCAGAGCTGCCTGGAGTAATCCAGACTGGAGACGGTGAAAGGCTTCTGTCCATCCATAGCAAAATAATATCCCCGATGACGTGGAATTAAAAGTCTAGTAATAATAATACTAGTAAGACTCCTTGCGATTACTCCTATTCACAGCAAATACACTAAGTTTCAAGACTTCCCTCCTTCCCTCTGGAGTACAAGGAAAAAGCAAAACGTTCTGACATCTTTTAATTGTGGGCTTCCCACATGTGGACGGAGAGGCCAGACACGGCCTTCCACAACAAAGGCCCGCCTGTATCCTTCGCACAGTCGCTGGCTTTGATGTTCCAGAAGCAGCCGAGAGAGTTGTGTCTCTCTGCCACCTCACACACAAATGTGAATTGAGCGCCTGCCACTTCCCCACTTCCCTGCCTGAACGTTTTGTTCCAGGACAGCGAAAGATGAAAAGATGGGTCATAAAAGCACAGAGAAGTGCTTATTTTAAGAGCGAGCGCTCATTGTGGGTTTTGTGTGGCGCACTTGAGCTTTCTGCCAAAGGAAATTAGTATATATGAGATAAACCATGTATCTTTTAACACACCGTGGAACAAAAGTAAAAACAACCCAGATGTCGCTTTTGCACTTTCCCTAGTGCACGTCTTTTGTTTTGCAGTGATGGAGAACTAATCTATTTTCGCAAATTACAACTTGCTTTCTATTACCGCAAAAGAGTGCTGGGACCAGTGAGACCAGTGCCTGGAATGCGACGGGCCAGTCCTTTCCACACAACCAGCTTACGCCAAGTGTGTGCGCTCACCATCTTGACTGAGCAGCTGCCCATCAGGGGTTGTGCTGTGTCGTCTGAACTCTGTCCTCGTGGGCTATTTAAGGCTTAAACAATCCGTGCTTAAAATCAGCTGCAAATCAACACCTCCCACAATGACTGAGTTTGGAAAACCGATTGCAACCCTTGATTGGCCCAATGGCCGCTTGCGCAAACAAAATGGCCACAGCGTGTGTCACTGTGGGTGCGTCTGAGTGCAAACTCGTCTAGTCCCGTGGCGTTCCCAGCTTTTCTTACCACGACTTTAGAATGGAGTGCTAGAGTGTTACCATCCAGTATTTTCTGGGTGGTCTGCCATAATCTCCACACCATTTGGAGAGGCCAGCACTGCTTGGGATGTGAGGGTCTCCTGTGCCTTTAATTGAGAGCTTCCCTTGCAGCTTCTCTCCCTGTGCAACATAGTTGAAAGATTACTGATGAACTGCCCTTGGCTGAGCCTCTGTCCTCTGTGGAGGGGACAGGAGATATATCAATTTTCCTACAGAGCTGCTTCTTAATGAAAGAAAAATGAAGAGAAGAGTAATAAAAGGAAAGCAATAATTTAACTCAAACTCGTATCCAGGGAACATAAGCTGGCTTTTTAAAAGGCTATTAAAGACTAACTGCAGGCACCGGTTAGAAAGTTGGTGTTTCTGAAACACACGTCCTGGTTGGAAGGTGTGTCTGTGTGTGAGATTGTAGGCCTGGTCACGGTGCTATAACACAGACCAAGGACTGGCAGAAAGTCAGTCTCCAGATGTTTAGCCTTCAGCAACCAGAAGTCCCTGCTAGGATGGTCAGTGATCAGAAATGCTGGAAGGTGAAGTCCATGGCTTCTAGAGATCTGATTACCTGTTACAGACCAAGATCTCCATTTGGGATCATCATCAGTCAGAATCACAGAGTTGGGAGGAACCTCAAAATCCACCGAGTCCACCCCTCTGTTGATGCAGAAGATCCATCACTACAGCATTCCTGGTAGTTGGCTACTGAATGGATCCCACCACTTCCAGCGAGACCCCCAAAACAACCAGTGCAGCAACTGAGCTGCACTCCGTGAGACGGAAGTGCCTTGGTTGGGGGTGGAGAGGAGAGAAAGGGGGAAAGCGAAACGTGGCCATCGGATTAACTTCTTGCAGCAGGAACTTCCACTGGGACTGATCTGTTTTGTCAGAAAATTGATACAAAGACCACTGTATGCGGAATAAAATCAACATGCCCCGTTATCGCTCTGAGTACAATCCACCGGAAAGCCCTTACACCAAGTCCCAAGTCAACGGATGGGAGTTCTCTTTGTGCCTTCATGACCCCCTGAGCAGATCGCAATCATTTTGGACCCTCAGCCCAACCTACCTCACAGGGTTGTTGTTGTGGGGATAAGATGGAGGAGGAGGAGGATGTAAGCTGCCTTGAGCCCTTTGTAGCAAAAAGGCAGGATACACATCGAAAAATAAATAAATAATTTTTTACGGAGGGCTCCTCAAGAGAAACTCCTGGCGTAGGGATGGTTGGACTGCAGTTCCTATCATGCCTGGCCACTCTGCCAACCACTCAACCCCATCCTAGAAGCCTGAGATCTTTGCTTCAAAGACCTCCCCCCCACCATTGCACAGGTGACTACACAGGTCCACCGTGAGCCCTGGCCAATTTCTGTGTGCATGTGTGTGTGTGTGGGGGGGGGGGGTCCCACAGCGATGGGACCCTCCTTCCATTCCTGCGCAGAGCCAGCTCCCCCGGAACCCGCCGACCCCACGGGGCCCTGGCTTACTTGTGCCTGAGCTGGTCCCAATCGTGTTGATGGTTGCGGGGACGGAGGAGGAGGAGTACAGGGGCAGGTGGCCGTTCTCGCACCCCAGGTTTTTATCCTGCCAGCTGGAGGCGTTCACACATACGCCGGAGTCCCGAGAGCTCTGCCACCCGTTCAGCTTATCGTCGGAGTTCTGTCTTTGGTGATAGTAGTGCGACTGCCCGTAATCCACCGAGTCGGACCGGCCTCGGTTCTGGCTGCCGAAGGTCCCGGACGTGCGGTCTTCCAGGTGGTTCAGCCACATGGCCAGGGCGGTCCTGTCCTCCAGGGACGTGGCGGGGTGGATCAGCGCATAGGACAGCAGCTGCCGACTCTCCTCGATGTGTTGGTTGTGTTCGATCGAGTGCGCCAGGATTTTGGGAAGCAGCTTCATGTACTCCACTTTTGCTTCGATGTTTCCCGGCTTCAGCAAAGGCAGGTGAGTTAACAGCAAAGAAATCACCTTGTCCTTCGATTCTTGTTGCCACTGGTTAATGATTCCTGTTGTGCCGGGGAAAAAGTGGGGAGGGGAGGAGAGTTGTGAAATCAGCAAACAGCCCCGGGAAGCAAATAGGGGAGAAATCTGTATTTTTGCACAAAAGGGCACTACACATTTCTAGTGCCTTTGCAATGTTTATCCTACTGACCAAGAAATACTGTTTTTACCCTCCTGGGGGGAAAAGGTAGCCACCAAAAAGAAAAGGGAACTCAGAATCGGAGTAGACAAACAGGAAAACTGATCTATCCATGGGAGAGAGAGAGAGTGTGTGTGTGTGTGTGTGTGTGTGTGTGTGAGCCAGACAAACTGCCAGCACGCAAAACTTCCACATCAAAAGAACACGGTCAGTGGTGACCCAGTGCGCAGATCCATTTTAAGGCCCCATCTTTTCCCGCGGAAGGCACCACGGCAATGAAATGTGTATGAGAGAGAGGCAAAAATGCAGCTCCAGCTCCTGGCTCTAAAATAGGAATGACTTTTCAGAACAAAGCACTGAATAAGACCCGCCAAAAAGGGCTGGGGGGCTGGGAAGGAGTCAGTTGTCACGGCCTGGTCTTGTATGGAGTCAGAGCAAAGGAGCCACATCACAGCTGCCAAAAACGCCCCCCGTTTCTTGCCAATGCACCCCCAAAACCGGAACCAGCCCACAAAGTCGCCCAGTGGCCAGTCAGGCAAGCATGAATCTATAGCAGTCGTTTGTGGCCAAAAATAAGAGAATTCCTCCTTTGAACAGGGCCTCGGCTATGAGGGCCAAAGCCACGCCCTCTGGGGTCCTGCCGAGAGCTGCACCCACCTTTGCAGATCCTGACCCCTTTCCTCCACCCCCAAATTTGGCCGTTTCGGGCACTGCTCTGCCGCACCTTGCTAAGAGGTGTAAATGCCAGGGCTAATGTGCCGTTACTGCAATCCAGGTGCAACTCTATGCACCTGTGGGCAGGGAACCAATGCGTCTTCAGCCACCTGGCCTCTGCCAGGCGAAAAGGTGGAGGGGGGACTTTGCATCGTGCTGAAAAGACTTCCACACATCCAGGGCGACTGGGGAGGCCTCCACTTGGGGGGGGGCAGTTGGGTAGAAGCCCATGGGAAGGGCCACGTGCGAGTAAACTCAGTCCAGAAGCTTGGGCTATACTGCGCTTCCGGTGGTACTCCTCCTTGTTTAGAAGGGCTGCAACCAGAAGCTTTATTTTAGTTGGAGCACAATCCTTTGAATTTTAGGCAGAAGAAAAGGTCCTGAAACTCCCCAGAAAAGCCCTCCATCTCTGGCTGGGGAATGCTCAAGCTACCAGGGCTTCATCAATCAATCAATCAATCAATCAATCAATCAATCAATCACCATTCCGCCCCGCCGTTCTCTTATTGTCTCCACATGCACAGAAGTGTCCTCTAAACCCCCTTTTACTGGTTTCTGGCAGACTTCCTTGGCCTGGGGTTCTCCAGGTGTGCTCGCTGCCATGCCCAACAGCTGGGGATGATGGGGCGGTAGTCCAACACATCTGGAGCGCACAGCACTGGGTGTGGGAAAGCAGATTTAAGTGACTCCATTCTGGTGACAGCGGTCACAAAAATGACAAGGAAGACCCAGCCGGGCGCTTAATCTCGGCTTTCCAGAGTCACTCGGAATTCTGCGGAGCTGCTCTCCCAGCGCAGCCAGAGGTCGGAGCAACAGCTGGGCCTGGATCGCGTTCCTCACTGCCCTGCGCTTGCATTGTGCAAACTCCGCTCGCTCGGAGGCAGAGGGCAGAGAAGCGGGCGGGGAGCCAAGTGTTCCCGTGTGCGGTCTCCGAATGGACCGTGGGCACAGTGGGCGCTTGCTGCGGGCGGAGGAAGGAGGAGGAACGCTGGCGCAGGAGGGAGGAATGGCAGGCATGCCCAGGCCCACGTGGGGCCGTGGATGCCATGCAGTCGCCTCTAGTGGAACACGCGTGCCCAAAGCCACTCAGCGCGCTCGCGCGCTCTCTCTCTCTCTCTCTCTCTCTCTCTCTCTCTCTCTCTCTCTCTCTCTCTCTCTCACACACACACACACACACACACACACAGCTTGCTGAACACGGGGCTGGCCACTCCAGGGCAGTTCTCCGACATTCAAAAGCCACCACACCTCCGTAAAGGTAGTCTTCGGAGCAGCCTTTCTCACACCCTGCCTGGGAACCTCCCTTGTACAAAGGGCTGCCGGCAACCGTGGACGCAACCGGAAGGCACATGGCGTCTGCAGCGCTGCGAGATTGTACTGTGCGGCACCTGCACTCGCTGTGTCACCACACCCCCAAAATGGAGTCTGGCCCGTGGGCTGAAAGACCCTCCTCTTTCAAAGCAATAGCTTAAACCAGGAGACGTCTGGAGCAGGGGGTGGTGGAACGCCCTTCCCGCAGCTGCATGGGTGGGAACATGATCCAAAGAGATGGAGCACAGTGCGCTGCCCGGGGACAGGCCCAGCCGAAAAGAACCCAGGGTGGATTCCCCAGGGTCCCCAGTAAGAAGTGATCAGACTGACAAAAGAGATCCCGGGCTGGGTGGAAAACAGCCTGATCCCGTAAAAGGCAGTTTCCCACATGCCAAGATTCCCCAAGGCTTTCCCAGAGCAGCTGATCGGTGCAAGGCAGTTCCTGGTGCTTCCGCACCGCCCGGAAGGCCCGGGCAGGTGAGATTCCCAGGCCATCCCTCTGCCCCAAAAGCGTCTGATCGAATGCATCACACTCTTCTTTGGACATAAAATGGAAAGGCAGGAAGAGTCGCTGTGCCGCCAGGTATTGCCAGCCTGGGCGACGGGGCTGTAAGCACGCCGAAATACCCGGGCACTATTCTTAGAGAATCGGTTGCGAGAACGTCCGCTTTTTTGAAATAATAAAGAAACAAGTACGGGCCACTTTACGTAAGGAGGAGACGGTTCTCCATAGACTCATAGAGTCTTGTCAGAGCTGGATGAGTAATGGATACAGATGTGTCAGCCGGGAGTTTTAACACAAGCACACACAAAAACCCTGCAGTGATTTTTGTATGATTTATAAACAAGAGAGCAATTTATAATAGGCAGCAAGCGCTATAATTAAAGACCATGAGGATTTTTTTTTTTAAAGGAAGAAGGAGACACTGCCAAAACATTCCCGGGAGCCGCACACTAGCAAATGGTGTATTATTCACACTCAAGTATTTATAAATTTATTTATAAAACATTTTATACTGCCCTGCAGCGCTAAAAAAGGAACCCAATGCCATGGCGGTATATTTAAGGGCTCCAGTTGTTACCAAATTGCCCTTAAATTGCTCTTTTATCTCAGCCTTGCTTTCCGTTTAACACGCTCTGCAAAATGTTCTTTTTTTCCCTCCCAAGTTCATTCAGTTCATTTCCTCAGGCAAGAGAAACAGCTGAAAATTAGACAGGGATGCCTGGAAAGGCACTTAATAAACACAGGCACATACACACAGAAAAAGCACATAATAGCGCGGCGGAAAAGTGACAGCGCTCCGCTCTCCCGCGGAGGAGCCAGGCCCAAGCAGGCAAATCACGACATGAGGTCCTGCTCTGTCCCCATCAGAGAACCATCCAGGTTGATTCTGTACCACGCACGCCGCTCGCCATCCCCGGAGGGAGCACTCTGCGCAAAAACACAACTCGCTCATGGTTTGGGGAGTGCCCGTCTGGGGGGTCCATGCAGAAAACCATTAGCAGCACCTCCTCAGGATGGCTTTTCTGTGCCGCCGGAATGGGGGGCAAACACGGATGAGCACTTCAAGGGCGGGGATGGCGAGCAGAGGGCATCACTGCTGCTTCCCAAGAGAGACACACGCGTGTGCACACACACACCATTTCAGGGGCCAAGAAGAACTTCCCTGCAGGTGCCGGCGCAACTCAGGCTGTACAGGTAGAAGCAGGGGAAGCCATACGAAGAGAGACTGAGGGAGCTGGGTCTTTTCGGTCTGGAGAGGAGGAGACTCCGAGGGGACCTGTTAGCGACAGACAGGTACAAGTGGGGGTGCCACGCAGAGGTGGGTCATGGCCTTTTTTCCCCCTGCAGCAGAGGGCAGGACGCACTCCAACAGAGCCAAGCTCAGGGAACCAAGATTTGGGGTGGATGCCAGGAAGTGCTTCCCGACAGTGAGGACCCCAAGGGTGTGGAATGGGCTTCCATGGGAGGTGGTTGAGGCCCCACTGGTGAGGTGTTCAAGGACAGGCTGGACATGCACATGGTGGGCATGTCGTGAGCAGAGCCGGCTGGAGCTGGGGGTCAGACTAGATGGCCCAGGAGGCCCCTTCTGACTCACTCTGTTTCTATGTTTCCATATTTCTATGCCCGCTGGCAAGGTGTGCAAAATCTTCAACCTTCCTCCCCCTTCACTTGCATGGCCCTGTCCGTGGCTGCTTTGATTTGCTGGAGAATTTAGAGAGAGAAGGATGATGGCGACTCTCCTGATTCAGCGTGGGAGGAGCAAGAGCGAGGACCAAACACCTCCCCGGCAGAGGAGCAGTCCACCGAAAGGTGCTTCTGCCGCACAGGTGGGGAAAGGTGATGCCCACCCCACAGGTGCTCGGACAGGGATGCCTCAGAGGGAAAGAGGCCAAGGGGAATACGCCAGGAGCGACCCCAGCTCAGTGGTGGGGCAAAAGCGTTGCAAACAAAGGTTCCGCTCACGCAGGAAACAGGAGGCTAGCCCTGTGGTCCTTGGATTGCTGCCGGCTGGGGTGTTTTGGATGAATCAAAAAGGAGCACGAGAGCCAGCACTGGCTGCCGGCGCGGGAGGGGACGCTGGTCGCGGTGGCCAATGGCCTATTATTTATCCGCCCGCTAGCCCTCCGCCTTTCTGCCAGGAAAGCGGCACTCGCCTGGGGGAAGCCATGCTGGTTTGGGCAGAGGACTGCTCCAATCACGCCGCCATTCGTGTCCGCTCGCAACGGGTGCGGAGGCCCCGCTTCTGGCTGCGGAGGCTGCCCGTCCAGCAGCGGCTAATCCCCTTTTACAGCCACCCAGGTTGGTGGCCGCCAGCACCCCTCGTGGCGGCACATTCC